TTCCTCAACTTAGTGGTTTGTCTTAAAATAATAAAGGATCGATTCGCCATTAAAGCAAAGAAAAAGAAGAACTCCGCACAATTGATCTCTTATCCTGGAAGCTATCCCGCTCCCGCGCAGGCTAGCCGCTCAGAATGAGTTATCTAGCCCGATAAGAAGCGAACCAGCGTCGTAGGACCGGAAACCCCAGTGTGTGGGTTATCCCAGGTGTGTGTCTGTGTGTGGGTTATCCCAGGTGTGTGTCTGTGTGTGGGTTATCCCAGGTGTGTGTCTGTGTGTGGTATCCCAGGTGTGTGTCTGTGTGTGGGTTATCCCAGGTTGTGTCGTGTGTGGGTTATCCCAGGTGTGTGTCTGTGTGTGGGTTATCCCAGGTTGTGTGTCTGTGTGTGGGTTTATCCCAGGTGTGTGTCTGTTGTGGGGTTATCCCAGGTGTGTGTGTGGGTTATCCCAGGTGTGTGTCTGTGTGTGGTTATCCCAGGTGTGTGTCTGTGTGTGGGTTATCCCAGGTGTGTGTCTGTGTGTGGGTTATCCCAGGTGTGTGTCTGTGTGTGGTTATCCCAGGTGTGTGTCTGTGTGTGGGTTATCCCAGGTGTGTCTGTGTGTGGGTTATCCCAGGTGTGTGTCTGTGTGTGGGTTATCCCAGGTGTGTGTCTGTGTGTGGGTTATCCCAGGTGTGTGTCTGTGTGTGGGTTATCCCAGGTGTGTGTCTGTGTGTGGGTTATCCCAGGTGTGTGTGGGTTATCCCAGGTGTGTGTCTGTGTGTGGGTTCCCAGGTGTGTGTCTGTGTGGGTTATCCCAGGTGTGTGTCTGTGTGTGGGTTATCCCAGGTGTGTGTCTGTGTGTGGGTTATCCCAGGTGTGTGTCTGTGTGTGTGGTTATCCCAGGTGTGTGTCTGTGTGGGTTATCCCATGTGTGTGTCTGTGTGGGTTATCCCAGGTGTGTGTGTGGGTTATCCCAGGTGTGTGGGTTATCCCAGGTGTGTGTCTGTGTGTGGGTTATCCCAGGTCTGTGTCTGTGTGTGGGTTATCCCAGGTGTGTGTCTGTGTGTGGGTTATCCCAGGTGTGTGTCTGTGTGTGTGTTATCCCATGTGTGTGTCTGTGTGTGGGTTATCCCAGGTGTGTGTCTGTGTGTGGGTTATCCCAGGTGTGTGTTATCCCATGTGTGTGTCTGTGTGTGGGTTATCCCAGGTCTGTGTGTGGGTTATCCCATGTGTGTGTGTTATCCCATGTGTGTGTCTGTGTGTGGGTTATCCCAGGTGTGTGTCTGTGTGTGTTATCCCAGGTGTGTGTCTGTGTGTGGGTTATCCCATGTGTGTGTCTGTGTGTGGGTTATCCCAGGTGTGTGTCTGTGTGTGGGTTATCCCAGGTGTGTGTCTGTGTGTGTTATCCCATGTGTGTGTCTGTGTGTGGGTTATCCCAGGTGTGTGTCTGTGTGTGTTATCCCATGTGTGTGTCTGTGTGTGGGTTATCCCAGGTGTGTGTCTGTGTGTGGGTTATCCCAGGTGTGTGTCTGTGTGTGGGTTATCCCATGTGTGTGTCTGTGTGTGTTATCCCATGTGTGTGTCTGTGTGTGGGTTATCCCAGGTGTGTGTCTGTGTGTGTTATCCCAGGTGTGTGTCTGTGTGTGGGTTATCCCAGTTGTGTGTCTGTGTGTGGGTTATCCCAGGTGTGTGTCTGTGTGGGTTATCCCAGGTGTGTGTCTGTGTGGGTTATCCCATGTGTGTGTCTGTGTGTGGGTTATCCCAGGTGTGTGTCTGTGTGGGTTATCCCAGGTGTGTGTCTGTGTGTGGGTTATCCCAGGTGTGTGTCTGTGTGGGGTTATCCCAGGTGTGTGTCTGTGTGTGTGTTATCCCATGTGTGTGTCTGTGTGTGGGTTATCCCAGGTGTGTGTCTGTGTGGGTTATCCCAGGTGTGTGTCTGTGTGTGGGTTATCCAAGGTGTGTGTCTGTGTGTGTTATCCCAGGTGTGTGTCTCTGGGTTATCCCAGGTGTGTGTCTGTGTGGGTTATCCCAGGTGTGTGTCTGTGTGTGTGTTATCCCAGGTGTGTGTCTGTGTGTGTTTTATCCCAGGTGTGTGTCTGTGTGTGTTATCCCATGTGTGTGTCTGTGTGTGTTATCCCATGTGTGTGTCTGTGTGTGGGTTATCCCAGGTGTGTGTGGGTTATCCCAGGTGTGTGTCTGTGGGTTATCCCAGGTGTGTGTCTGTGTATTTTATCCCAGGTGTGTGTCTGTGTGTGTTATCCCATGTGTGTGTCTGTGTGTGGGTTATCCCAGGTGTGTGTCTGTGTGTGTTCAGGTGTGTCTGTGTGTGTTTTATCCCATGGTGTGTGTCTGTGTGTGTTATCCCAGTGTTGTGGTCTGTGTGGTGGGTTATCCCAGGTGTGTGTCTGTGTGTGGGTTTATCCCAGGTGTGTGTCTGTGTGTGGGTTATCCCATGTGTGTGTCTGTGTATTTTATCCCAGGTGTGTGTCTGTGTGTGGGTTATCCCATGTGTGTGTCTGTGTGTGTTATCCCAGGTGTGTGTCTGTGTGTGGGTTATCCCATGTGTGTGTCTGTGTGTGTTATCCCATGTGTGTGTCTATGTGTGGGTTATCCCAGGTGTGTGTCTGTGTGTGTGTTATCCCAGGTGTGTGTCTGTGTGTGGGTTATCCCAGGTGTGTGTCTGTGTGTGGGTTATCCCAGGTGTGTGTCTGTGTGTGTTTTATCCCAGGTGTGTGTCTGTGTGTGTTTTATCCCAGGTGTGTGTGTGTCTGTGTGTGTTATCCCAGGTGTGTGTCTGTGTGTGTTATCCCATGTGTGTGTCTGTGTGTTATCCCAGGTGTGTGTCTGTGTGTGGGTTATCCCAGGTGTGTGTCTGTGTGTTATCCCAGGTGTGTGTCTGTGTGTGGGTTATCCCAGGTGTGTGTCTGTGTGTGGGTTATCCCAGGTGTGTGTGGGTTATCCCAGGTGTGTGTCTGTGTGTGGGTTAGCCCAGGTGTGTGTCTGTGTGTGTGTTATCCCAGGTGTGTGTCTGTGTGGGTTATCCCAGGTGTGTGTGTTTTATCCCAGGTGTGTGTCTGTGTGTTATCCCAGGTGTGTGTCTGTGTGTGTGTTATCCCAGGTGTGTGTCTGTGTGTGTGTTTTATCCCAGGTGCGTGTCTGTGTGTGGGTTATCCCAGGTGTGTGTCTGTGTGTGTGTTTTATCCCAGGTGCGTGTCTGTGTGTGGGTTATCCCAGGTGTGTGTCTGTGTGTGTGTTATCCCAGGTGTGTGTCTGTGTGTGTGTTTTATCCCAGGTGCGTGTCTGTGTGTGGGTTATCCCAGGTGTGTGTGTTTTATCCCAGGTGTGTGTCTTTGTGTTTTATCCCAGGTGTGTGTCTGTGTGGGTTATCCCAGGTGTGTGTGTTTTATCCCAGGTCTGTGTGTGGGTTATCCCAGGTGTGTGTGTTTTATCCCAGGTGTGTGTCTGTGTGTTTTATCCCAGGTCTGTGTGTGGGTTATCCCAGGTGTGTGTGTGTGTGTTATCCCAGGTGTGTTGTGTTATTCCATCACATCACATTTAGCTGAGGCTTTTATCCAGAGCGACTTACAATAAGTGCATTCGACCAGGAAGACACAACCTTGAAGAAAACAGAATCATAAAGTACATCAGGTTTCATAGAGCCAAACATTTCAAGTGCTGCTCAACTGGCTTTAGATAAGCCAGTCCTTTATTAGTATATAAGTGCTTTGTTAATAGTTCTAATGCTCGAAGTGGAGTCGAAAGAGATGAGTTTTCAGTTGGCGCCGGAAGATGTGTAAGCTTTCTGCTGTCCTGATGTCAATGGGGAGCTCATTCCACCATCTTGGAGCCAGGATAGCAAACCCACGTGTTTTCGCCGTTGGGAACTTGGGTCCCCTTCGCAGCGAGGGCGCAGCGAGTCGTTTGGTTGATGCAGAGCGTAGTGCACGTGCTGGGGTGTACGGTTTAACCATGTCCTGGATGTAGGAAGGGCCAGATCCATTCGCAGCATGGTAAGCAAGCACCAGTGTCTTGAAGTGGATTCTAGCAGTTACCGGAAGCCAGTGGAGGGAGCGGAGGAGCGGAGTGGTGTGGGAACATTTAGGAAGGTTGAAGACCAGGCGAGCCGCTGCATTCTGGATGAGCTGCAGAGGTCGGATGGCACATGCAGGTAGACCAGCCAGGAGGGAGTTGCAGTAGTCTAGGCGTGAGATGACGAGAGCCTGGACCAGAACCTGCGTGGCTTTCTGGGTCAGCTGGGGATGTATCTTCCTGATGTTGTAATCCCAGGTGTGTGTGTGTTATCCCAGGTGGGTGTGTGTGTGTTATCCCAGGTGTGTGTGTGTTGTGTTATCCCAGGTGTGTGTGTGTTATCCCAGGTGTGTGTGTGTTGTCCCAGGTGTGTGTGTGTTATCCCATGTGTGTGTGTTATCCCAGGTGTGTGTGTGTTATCCCAGGTGTGTGTGTGTTATCCCAGGTGACAGTGAACAGAAACAGGAAGTGGTTATACATCTTTTATTTCATCCATTTAACATCACGCCTGTAACAGGAAGTGTCTTTGGCAGCAGGACGTTTCAAAATAAAAGCACAGCAGTGACGAGGTGATTACATTGTAGTGTTGTTAATAAGCGGCTAAATGAATACTGAGAGCAGGGACTATACTATCTGAGGAACGTCAGGAGAACCTCAGGGTTATCTTTAAGCTCAGAGGAACTTTAAGGAATATCAGAGGAACCCTCTGGGGATCTAAGGAGTCTGAGAGGAACCTAGGGTTAGAAACCCTGGGCCCTAAAGGAACCTCAAAGGGGAATGTTTAGTGATACATCTGATAGACTTTGGTAGAACCTCACACCACCTAACGGAGTGCTAGCGGGAATGTTGGAGAACCTTTGGGGAACCCTGAGGGAATGTTATTGAGATGGTCTTTAAAGACTGGAGGATCTCAGGGGAACGTTAGAGGAACCCCACTGAGGAACGTTAGAGGAACGTTTCTGATGGGCTGTGTTTACGTGTCAACTGTTTTAATGAGAACAGGAACCATGGTTCTCCGATCAGCTGAAGAACTAAATATTTCCAACTTTATTAAAACCTTTTATAAAACTTTGTTTAAATGGTTATATCAAAATGTATTTAAACCTTTGAAGTTTAGTTAGTAAAGTGTGAACGTGTTGGTTCCTTTGAAAAGGAGAACATGAATATATAAATCTGATGAACATAGAGTTTACTCCCTGTTCTCCTGCTGGTTCTCCTGCTGAGGCAGAGTGGAGGACAGAGCGTAATCCTGACTGACTCCCTCAGAAACCACAGAAACATCCACCTCCTCTACGTTCTCCATCACCTCCTCTACGTTCTCCATCACCTCCTCTACGTTCTCCACCATCTCTTCCTCTTTCTCCTCTTCATTCTGTTTCTCCTCTTTCTCCCCCGGTTCCTCCGGACTCAGCTGGGTGTGAACCTCAGTGAAGGGAACCTCGTTGAAAGGATCCTCAGTGAAGGGAACCTCGTCGAAAGAAACCTGGATGTCAGGAACGTCAATGACGGCCTCTTCCTGCAGGGCGTCGGGGGGGTGAGAGTCTGAGTTGCTGCGCGGCTGAAACAGAACCACAGGTTAGAGAACCACACATAGTCATAGAACCTCACAAGAATCCTATGGAACCTCTGAGAGAACCTTAGTAGATCCTCTGTGGAACCTCTGAGTGAAACACCTTTGGGGAACCTTCTTTCAAACCAGGAATAACAAATACACTGTATGAGGAACTAGGGATGGGTACCGAGCCCCGGTATTAAACGGGCCCGGGGGCTGAATTATTAAAGACCGTGATACCGCTAAGCTCCGACGTTAGCGGTCTTTTTATCGGTACTGGAGACATGTAACACATATATGTCAATACCAGTCTGTCTGCCTGAACACCTGTCTGTCTGATCACCTGTCTCTCTGAACACCTGTCTGTCTGATCACCTGTCTGTCTGAACACCTCTCGGTCTGAACACCTGTCTGTCTGATCACCTGTCTGTCTGAACACCTGTCTGTCTGATCACCTGTCTGTCTGATCACCTGTCTCTCTGAACACCTGTCTGTCTGATCACCTGTCGGTCTGAACACCTGTCTGTCTGATCACCTGTCGGTCTGAACACCTGTCTGTCTGATCAACTATCTGTCTGAACACCTGTCTGTCTGATCACCTGTCGGTCTGAACACCTGTCTGTCTGATCACCTGTCTGTCTGATCACCTGTCTCTCTGAACACCTGTCTGTCTGATCACCTGTCGGTCTGAACACCTGTCTGTCTGATCACCTGTCGGTCTGAACACCTGTCTGTCTGATCACCTGTCTGTCTCATCACCTGTCTGTCTGAACACATGTCTGTCTCATCACCTGTCTGTCTGAACACATGTCTGTCTCATCACCTGTCTGTCTGAACACCTGTCTGTCTGATCACCTGTCTCTCTGAACACCTGTCTGTCTGATCACCTGTCGGTCTGAACACCTGTCTGTCTGATCACCTGTCGGTCTGATCACCTGTCGGTCTGAACACCTGTCTGTCTGATCACCTGTCTCTCTGAACACCTGTCTGTCTGATCACCTGTCGGTCTGAACACCTGTCGGTCTGAAGACCTGTCTGTCTGATCACCTGTCTGTCTCATCACCTGTCTGTCTGAACACATGTCTGTCTCATCACCTGTCTGTCTGAACACATGTCTGTCTCATCACCTGTCTGTCTGAACACCTGTCTGTCTGATCACCTGTCTCTCTGAACACCTGTCTGTCTGATCACCTGTCGGTCTGAACACCTGTCTGTCTGATCACCTGTCGGTCTGATCACCTGTCGGTCTGAACACCTGTCTGTCTGATCACCTGTCTGTCTGATCACCTGTCTCTCTGAACACCTGTCTGTCTGATCACCTGTCGGTCTGAACACCTGTCTGTCTGATCACCTGTCGGTCTGAAGACCTGTCTGTCTGATCACCTGTCTGTCTCATCACCTGTCTGTCTGAACACATGTCTGTCTCATCACCTGTCTGTCTGAACACATGTCTGTCTCATCACCTGTCTGTCTGAACACCTGTCTGTCTGATCACCTGTCTGTCTCATCACCTGTCTGTCTGAACACATGTCTGTCTCATCACCTGTCTGTCTGAACACATGTCTGTCTCATCACCTGTCTGTCTGAACACCTGTCTGTCTGATCACCTGTCTCTCTGAACACCTGTCTGTCTGATCACCTGTCGGTCTGAACACCTGTCTGTCTGATCACCTGTCTCTCTGAACACCTGTCTGTCTGATCACCTGTCGGTCTGAACACCTGTCTGTCTGATCACCTGTCGGTCTGAACACCTGTCTGTCTGATCACCTGTCTGTCTCATCACCTGTCTGTCTGAACACATGTCTGTCTCATCACCTGTCTGTCTGAACACATGTCTGTCTCATCACCTGTCTGTCTGAACACATGTCTGTCTCATCACCTGTCTGTCTGAACACCTGTCTGTCTGATCACCTGTCTCTCTGACACCTGTCTGTCTGATCACCTGTCGGTCTGAACACCTGTCTGTCTGATCACCTGTCGGTCTGATCACCTGTCGGTCTGAACACCTGTCTGTCTGATCACCTGTCTGTCTGATCACCTGTCTCTCTGAACACCTGTCTGTCCCTGATCACCTGTCGGTCTGAACACCTGTCTGTCTGATCACCTGTCGGTCTGAAGACCCTGTCTGTCTGATCACCTGTCTGTCTCATCACCTGTCTGTCTGAACACATGTCTGTCTCATCATCCCTGTCTGTCTGAACACATGTCTGTCTCATCAACCTGTCTGTCTGCTCACCTGTCTGTCTGTTCACCTGTCTCTCTGTTCACCTGTCTGTCTGTTCACCTGTCGGGTCTGAACACCTGTCTTGTCATGATCACCTGTGCGGTCTGATCACTGACCACCTGTCTGTCTGACCACCTGTCTGTCTCATCACCTGTCTGTCTCATCACCTGTCTGTCTGAACACATGTCTGTCTCATCACCTGTCTGTCTGAACACCTGTCTGTCTGATCACCTGTCGGTCTGAACACCTGTCTGTCTGAACACCTGTCTGTCTGATCACCTGTCGGTCTGATCACCTGTCGGTCTGAACACCTGTCTGTCTGATCACCTGTCTGTCTCATCACCTGTCTGTCTGAACACATGTCTGTCTCATCACCTGTCTGTCTGAACACCTGTCTGTCTGATCACCTGTCGGTCTGAACACCTGTCTGTCTGATCACCTGTCGGTCTGAACACCTGTCTGTCTGAACACCTGTCTGTCTGATCACCTGTCTGTCTGAACACCTGTCTGTCTCATCACCTGTCTGTCTGAACACATGTCTGTCTCATCACCTGTCTGTCTGAACACCTGTCTGTCTGATCACCTGTCTGTCTGAACACCTGTCTGTCTGAACAGGTGTTTCTAATACGCAAAAAGACTTCAAAATGCATCATTTTTTGTATTTTCGATCTTTCCAATCCAGAAGAGAGATCTCTCTCTCCTGTCTGTGTGCGAGGGGGCGGGGCAGTTCACACACACGCAGCTGCTACATGCAGCAACACACACACACGGAGGAAATGGCGGAGAGAACGCGCTCCGAGGTGGTTAAACTTTACCCGTCTCGATGTGGAGAATGCTCGTTGCCTAAAGCCCAATAAGTGTTTAGCATGTGAGGGCGGGAACACGAGCAATTTGTCTAAACATTTATCAAAAGTGCTCCACATCCAGACGGAGGAGTGCACCGGGTTCGACTGTTTCTAGCAGCTCTGTAGCTCCGTCCACGAGGAACATTTCCACGTCAGGTGTTATGTATGCTAGCAGCAACACACAGAGTTAACTCAATGATACAAACATGAGTTAATGATTAGAGGAAACTGAGTTATTTATTTTGTTAAAGTTTCAGCTATTCTGGTTACATTGTTGTTTCTTTTGATGTGAAATATTATGTATTTAATTTAAATAAAAAGCAATGTTAGTTTTGTTCACAATTTGTTTATTTAGTTTACCTTATTTTTTTCTCCAAAAGAACCGATAAAAGTACCGTTAAAAGACCGGACCGATAAGCGCTATCGATAAAAGTAGTAATACCGTTAAAACCTTAACGATACCCATCCCTATGAGGAACCCTGGAGTAAGGGGAACCTGATAGAGCAGGAGTTTTCCAAGTGTGGGAAGGTGAGCCTCCCCTCAGAGAACATAAGAACAGCCGCGCCCCCCCTCCCAATTATTATTGTTGTTATTATTGTTATTGTTGTTGTTGCTGCTATAATGCAGGGGTATTCAATTGCATTTCAAAGAGGAGAGAACATGCTCTGTTTTCGCTGTCTACTTTTCTCTTCGTTGAGCGCGCCATTTGAAATGACTCACCCATCTGATTGGCTTAATAGCATCACCTCCCTAAAACATTAAACAATCCCTTTTTAAACATTTTTATCTTTTAAACATTTTTAATGTGCCCCTCACCTGAAGCTCTCTGGCCCCTCACCTGAAGCTCTCTGCCCCTCACCTGAAGCTCTCTGGCCCCTCACCTGAAGCTCTCTGGCCCCTCACCTGAAGCTCTCTGGCCCCTCACCTGAAGCTCTCTGCCCCTCACCTGAAGCTCTCTGGCCCCTCACCTGAAGCTCTCTGGCCCCTCACCTGAAGCTCTCTGCCCCTCACCTGAAGCTCTCTGGCCCCTCACCTGAAGCTCTCTGGCCCCTCACCTGAAGCTCTCTGGCCCCTCACCTGAAGCTCTCTGGTCCCTCACCTGAAGCTCTCTGCCCCTCACCTGAAGCTCTCTGCCCCTCACCTGAAGCTCTCTGGCCCCTCACCTGAAGCTCTCTGCACCTCACCTGAAGCTCTCTGCCCCTCACCTGAAGCTCTCTGGCCCCTCACCTGAAGCTCTCTGCCCCTCACCTGAAGCTCTCTGCCCCCTCACCTGAAGCTCTCTGCCCCCCCTGAAGCTCTCTGCCCCCCCCTGAAGCTCTCTGGCCCCTCATCTGAAGCTCTCTGCCCCCCCTGAAGCTCTCTGCCCCTCACCTGAAGCTCTTTGGCCCCTCACCTGAAGCTCTTTGGCCCCTCACCTGAAGCTCTCTGGCCCCTCACCTGAAGATCTCTGGCCCCTCACCTGAAGATCTCTGGCCCCTCACCTGAAGCTCTCTGGCCCCTCACCTGAAGCTCTCTGCCCCTCACCTGAAGCTCTCTGGCCCCTCACCTGAAGCTCTCTGGCCCCTCACCTGAAGCTCTCTGGCCCCTCACCTGAAGCTCTCTGGCCCCTCACCTGAAGCTCTCTGCCCCTCACCTGAAGCTCTCTGCCCCCCCTGAAGCTCTCTGCCCCTCACCTGACGCTATCTGCCCCCCCTGAAGCTCTCTGGCCCCTCACCTGAAGCTCTCTGCCCCCTGAAGCTCTTTGCCCCCCCTGAAGCTCTCTGGCCCTCACCTGAAGCTCTCTGGCCCCGCCCCTGAAGCTCTCTGCCCCTCACCTGAAGCTCTCTGGCCCCTCACCTGAAGCTCTCTGGCCCCTCACCTGAAGCTCTCTGCCCCTCACCTGAAGCTCTCTGCCCCCCCTGAAGCTCTCTGCCCCTCACCTGACGCTATCTGCCCCCCCTGAAGCTCTCTGCCCCTCCCGAAGCTCTCTGCCCCCCCCCCCCTGAAGCTCTCTGCCCCCCCCCCTGAAGCTCTCTGCCCCTCACCTGAAGCTCTCTGCCCCCCCCTGAAACTCTCTGGCACCCCCCCTGAAGCTCTCTGGCTCCTCAACTGAAGCTTTCTGCCCCCCCCCTGAAGCTCTCTGCCCCCCCCCCGAAGCTCTCTGGCCCCCACCTGAAGCTCTCTGCCCCCCCTCCCGAAGCTCTCTGGCCCCCCCCCGAAGCTCTCTGCCCACCCCCCCCTGAAGCTCTCTGCCCCCCCCCCCAGGGAGGCGCGCCTCACACTTTGAAAACCACTGTGATAGAGGGATCTTAAAGTATCTTTGAGAGCCTGAAGAGCTATAGAGTACATTGGGAGTACCCTTTACAGAACCTTCCTCAGTCTGAGGGTCAGAGGGTAGCATAAGAGGAGCCTTTAGAGAACTTAGTACCTTCCTGATGCCAAAGGTCAGAGGGGAACATAAGAGCAACCCTTTAGTGAACTTAGTACCTTCCTGATGCCAAAGGTCAGAGGGGAGCATAAGAGCAACCCTTTAGAGAACTTAGTACCTTCCTGATGCCAAAGGTCAGAGGGGAGCATAAGAGCAACCCTTTAGTGAACTTAGTACCTTCCTGATGCCAAAGGTCAGAGGGGAGCATAAGAGCAACCCTTTAGTGAACTTAGTACCTTCCTGATGCCAAAGGTCAGAGGGGAGCATAAGAGCAACCCTTTAGTGAACTTAGTACCTTCCTGATGCCAAAGGTCAGAGGGGAACATAAGAGGAACCCTTTAGTGAACTTAGTACCTTCCTGATGCCAAAGGTCAGAGGGGAACATAAGAGGAACCCTTTAGTGAACTTAGTACCTTCCTGATGCCAAAGGTCAGAGGGGAACATAAGAGCAACCCTTTAGTGAACTTAGTACCTTCCTGATGCCAAAGGTCAGAGGGGAGCATAAGAGCAACCCTTTAGAGAACTTAGTACCTTCCTGATGCCAAAGGTCAGAGGGGAGCATAAGAGCAACCCTTTAGTGAACTTAGTACCTTCCTGATGCCAAAGGTCAGAGGGGAGCATAAGAGCAACCCTTTAGTGAACTTAGTACCTTCCTGATGCCAAAGGTCAGAGGGGAGCATAAGAGCAACCCTTTAGTGAACTTAGTACCTTCCTGATGCCAAAGGTCAGAGGGGAACATAAGAGGAACCCTTTAGTGAACTTAGTACCTTCCTGATGCCAAAGGTCAGAGGGGAACATAAGAGGAACCCTTTAGTGAACTTAGTACCTTCCTGATGCCAAAGGTCAGAGGGGAACATAAGAGGAACCCTTTAGTGAACTTAGTACCTTCCTGATGCCAAAGGTCAGAGGGGAACATAAGAGGAACCCTTTAGTGAACTTAGTACCTTCCTGATGCTAAAGGTCAGAGGGGAACATAAGAGGAGCCTTTAGAGAACTTAGTACCTTCCTGATGCCAAAGGTCAGAGGGGAAACCTTCAGGCTGGAGGTTCTCTGTTTGATCTTCTCTCGTTGTTCCTGAGAAACGATCTTCGTTCCGATCTTGGTCATTTTCTTTTCAATGTTCTGCCTGGAGAACGCCTTCTTCAGACTGTCCACCTGCAGGGAGAGAGAACGTTAGAACAATAACTCACCTGTCTGTCAGATCACCTGTCTGTCGGTCTGATCACCTGTATGTCTGATCACCTGTCGGTCTGATCACCTGTCTGTCTGATCACCTGTCTGTCAGATCACCTGTCTGTCTGATCACCTGTCTGTCAGATCACCTGTCTGTCTGATCACCTGTCGGTCTGATCACCTGTCGGTCTGATCACCTGTCTGTCTGATCACCTGTCGGTCTGATCACCTGTCTGTCTGATCACCTGTCTGTCAGATCACCTGTCTGTCTGATCACCTGTCTGTCAGATCACCTGTCGGACTGATCACCTGTCTGTCTGATCACCTGTCTGTCTGATCACCTGTCTGTCAGATCACCTGTCTGTCTGATCACCTGTCGGTCTGATCACCTGTCGGTCTGATCACCTGTCTGTCTGATCACCTGTCGGTCTGATCACCTGTCTGTCTGATCACTTGTCTGTCTGATCACCTGTCTGTCTGATCACCTGTCTGTCTGATCACCTGTCTGTCTGATCACCTGTCTGTCTGATCACCTGTCTGTCTGATCACCTGTCTGTCTGATCACCTGTCTGTCTGATCACCTGTCGGTCTGATCACCTGTCGGTCTGATCACCTGTCGGTCTGTCTGATCACCTGTCTGTCTGATCACCTGTCGGTCTGATCACCTGTCTGTCTGATCACCTGTCGGTCTGTCTGATCACCTGTCTGTCTGATCACTTGTCTGTCTGATCACCTGTCGGTCTGATCACCTGTCTGTCTGATCACCTGTCTGTCCTCACCTTCTTGAGGCTGGATCTCTTCAGTTTCTCTGCTCTGGATTTCTCCAAGTTCTCCAGATCTTGAGGCCACGCCTCTTCTTCCTCCTCTAGCTCCGCCTCCAGCCCCTCGTCCTCGTCAGATGATAGGTCGATGGTGGAGAGCCCGCTCTCCTGGACACGGTTACCATCGACAACGCCCTCCGTTAGCTCATCCCCCTCCTCCAGGATCTCATCCCGAGGGAACGGGGGGGGATCCTTTAGGTAGACCGAGGACGGGATCTCGTTCTCCTCCTATGAACAAAGGAACCGCAACGTGGGTTTAAAGGAACCTTAGCGTTAGAAGGAACATCAGCCCAGGTTAAAGGAACCTTAGCGTTAGAAGGAACCTCAGCCCAGGTTAAAGGAACCTCAGCCCAGGGTAAAGGAACCTCAGCCCAGGTTAAAGGAACCTCAGCCCAGGGTAAAGGAACCTTAGCGTTAGAAGGAACATCAGCCCAGGTTAAAGGAACCTCAGCCCAGGGTAAAGGAACCTCAGCCCAGGTTAAAGGAACCTCAGCCCAGGGTAAAGGAACCTCTACTCGGGTTAAAGGAACCTGAACTCAAGTTAAAGGAACCTCAGGTTAAAGGAACCTCAGCCCAGGGTAAAGGAACCTGAACTCAAGTTAAAGGAACCTCAGGTTAAATATATAATATGCTGATATTTTCTTTCTTTTTCTTTCTTTGCACAGATTGCAAAGTGGAAAACTGTTATACCTTATTGTTCTATCAAAGGGATTGACCGCACAGACTTATGGAGCATTGTTTTATTATCACTGTTCTAGGAAAGGAAGGCTCACGTTCATATTGCTGTATTTTAATAAATGTTAACTTGGCCCATTACGTGACTATTTGTGTTGGGGGGCCCAACTTTTATTTTTCTCCAAAGGGGGGGCCTGACAGAAAAAGTTTGAGAACCACTGGGTTAAAGGAACCTGAACTCAAGTTAAAGGAACCTCAGGTTAAAGGAACCTCTACTCGGGTTAAAGGAAACTCAACTCAGGTCGAATGAACCAGGGCCACCCCTCCCTACGCACAGAACACGCAGAACACGCAGAGCCTCATCTTAGCTCGACAGTTGCCCCCGCAGCGAGGTCCTAACAGATCACAAGCGTTTGATTCCGTTAAATGATAGAGGTCCCATGTCATGCTTTTCCGGTTCTTACCCGTCCCCTTGTGTTCTGTAGCTTCTTGTTTGTAGCCTTTATTTAACCAGGTGAAGCCCCTTGAGATCAAAAGATCTCTTTTTCAAGGGTGACCTGCAGGACATTAGTTACACATGTAACATAAAAACAACAGAACAACAATAAGGATGACAAACAACATAAGGTACAGGGTACAGTTTACAAACTCTATTTACAGAGACAGGTACCATGAGTATCAAACTGAGATCAGAGAGCAGATATAAAAAGGTAGTTTACCCAACATGGCTTTGTAAATGAACATGTACCAATGACTGAGCCTCCGTACAGTTAGTGAAGGCAGACCTGCCTCGGCATACAGGGTACAGTGATGAGTCAGTGCTTTACAGTTAGTAACACATCTCAGGGCGCTGTGATAGGCGGCATCTAACTTTTCCAGGCAATGGGCAGGTGCATTCATATATATCAAATCACCAGAGTCCAGCACAGGTCAAAGGTCACAGAGCCTTTTCCTGGCCTCAAGCGAGAAACAGGACTTGTTTCTGAAAAAGAAACCTAGCCTAACCCTCAGCTTTTTAAGCAGGTTATTGACATGAAGTTTAAAAGTAAGACAATCATCAAGCCAGATACCAAGGTATTTATAACTGGTAACCACTTCAAGTACTTGTCCTTGCATAGTAACAATATCTAAAACAGGCTCTGGTGTCTTTTTAGCTTTAGAAAAGAGCATTACTTTGGTTTGATCAACATTTAAAAGAAGCTTTAGTTCAGAGAGCTGAGTCTGAATAATGTTAAAAACAGCCTGTAATTTAACACCAGCCTCCTGAATGGAGGGACCTGCACAGTACATCACGGTATCGTCCGCATACAAATGTAAAGTAGCTTCATCCACATTTTCACCTAAACTGTTGATATGGAGAATAAAAGTGGACCTGAAACAAAACCTTGAGGAACACCATTAGCAATGTTTAACCACTCAGAAGACAGCCCATCAAAGTGAACACATTGGGACCTTTCAGAGAGGTAGTTCACAAACCACCCACTGCATGGCTGGACATGCCGATACTGAGTAGCCTCTGCTTTAAGATGCGATGATCGACGGTATCAAACGCTTTGGACAGGTCAATAAATAGAGCTGCACAGCTCTGCTTATTATCTAAGATACTCGTAATATCATTCACCACTTTCATTGTGGCAGTGATGGTGCTGTGTTGCTTTCTGAAGCCTGACTGATGTTTAGACAGGATGTCATTGTTACATAAAAACACCTTTACCTGTTCACTCACTAAGCGTTCGAGCACCTGAGCCAGAACTGACAACTTAGAGATTGGCCTATAGTTATTTAAAATAGTTGCCTCCCCTCCTTTTAGCAAAGGCAGGACATACGCTGACTTCCATACTTTTGGAATTGCATTTGTGCAGAGGGAGAGGTTAAAAAGAGTAGTAAGAGGAAGAGCAATAAAATCTGCAGCTATCTTTAAAAAGAAAGGCTCTACGTTGTCCGGGCCAGCCGGTTTCTTAGGATCTAACTTAGATAAGGCTTCATGAACAACATTGACAGTAAAAGGAGTAAAACTGAAAGGGTTTTCCAGACCACATTGTTCAGAGTCACAGACTGTAGTGTTCACAGAAGCAGAGTTAGTGACAGAATCAAATAGAGAACCGCAGGACACAAAATGCTCATTAAAGCAATTTAGCATAGTAGCCCTGTCCGATATAGAGCCAGATGCTGTGGTAATGCACGGAGGTAGCTCATTACGGATCTCACCGGTGGATATCGATTTTATTGCTTTCCAAAATTTCCTAGGATTATTTAGGTTTTCTGTGGAAACTGACAAATAGTACTTCGACTTTGCACTTTTGAACATGTGAAGTGAAGCTATTCCTTAGCTGCCTAAAACGCAGCCATTCTACCTCTGAGCCTGATCTCCTAGCCTTTTCCCAGGCCTTGTTTCTCTCATGAAGGAGACTGGACAGATTAGCAGAAAACCAAGGATTGTCTCGTCCCTTTACTCTAAATGTACGCAGGGGTGAATGTCTATCAATGATCTCCATAAAACCAAGATAAAAATAAGACCATGCGGTTTCCACATCAGCACACAGATCGATTTTACCCCAATCAAACCCAAACAGATCATGAACAAAATCCTGCTCAACAAAATGTTTTTTGTCTCTCTTACTGATAATGCGAGGTTTAACCTTTTGGACCTTAGTGTCCCTAATTGTGGCTACAACACAGTGATCACTCAGATCATTTGCAAATACTCCCACAGAGGAATATTTATAGGGAACATTAGTTAGAATGAGATCAATTAGGGAGGATTTATTAGGGGACTTAATGTTAGGGCGAGTAGGACTGTCCACAATCTGAGTAACATTTAAAGAGATACAAAGGTTTTTAAAATCCTCTGACACTGCAGTTAACCAGTCCCAGTTACAATCTCCAAGTAGCACTATTTCCTTGTAGTCTAGTTGTGATAAAAGATTAGCTAGTGAAGACAAGGAGTCTTTGCCAGCTGAGGGGGGTCTGTAGCAGCCCACCACCATGACCTGTTGACCCTTTGCCACTTCTATATTTATGGCTAAAAATTCAAATTGCTTACTGATCGATTTGGAAACTAATATGGTTACACTGAACATGGGGGGGGGGGGGGGGCAGGAGCTCCAACAAGCCGTGTCGGACAGAGAGTGAATACACAGACTATACAGAGATGCTGTTTGAGAAACCAATGTGAGTTTGGAACATTGAACAAAGTGAATCTATTCTAGTCGACATCAACAATGGGATCATGAGAAATGGACATGACATGCGAGCTTTAAAGAAACAGGATGAGCGGTTCCTTCAGTCAGCAGACAGAGAACCGAGAACAGAGGTTAATCCTGAGGAATGCTGGGTATTTTAGGGAGGAAATGTTGAGTGTTGGTCACACACACACACACACACACACACACACACACACACACACACACACACACAGAGATCATCTGCCTCTGACCTCATCACAGCTCACTCTGCTCTGTGGTAACCATGACAACCAGAAAACAGGACAGACTGCTGCCTTCCTGCAGCTCACGACCAAATAAGGTCAACAGCTGAGAGCTGCCCCCCCCACACCTGTTAGAGAGAGCTGCGCCCCCCCACCTGTAAGAGAGAGCTCCCCCCACCAGTTAGAGAGAGCTCCCCCCACCAGTTAGAGAGAGCTCCCCCCACCAGTTAGAGAGAGCTCCCCCACCTGTTAGAGAGAGCTGCCCCCCTCACCTGTTAGAGAGAGCTGCCCCCCCTCACCTGTTAGAGAGAGCTGCGTCCCCCCCCCCTCACCTGGAAGATGAGCACCTTGAATTGGTTCCTGTTCACCAGGTGGGCATGGTTAGCCTCCAGCTTCCTCACCTGCGCACCCTGACGCTCCATCTTATCCCTCACCTGAGAGAGAGAGAAAGACAGGTGAGACACACAGGTGTGAGACAGACAAGTGAGACACACAGGTGAGACTGACAGGTGAGACAGACAGGTGAGACACACAGATGAGACTCACAGGTGAGACTCACAGGTGAGACAAACAGGTGACAGACAGGTGAGACTCACAGGTGAGACAGACAGGTGAGACAGACGGGTGAGACACACGGGTGAGAGACAGAAAGGTGAGACAGACAAGTGAGACACACAGGTGAGACTGACAGGTGAGACAGACAGGTGAGACAAACAGGTGAGACACACAGATGAGACACACAGATGAGACTCACAGGTGAGACAAACAGGTGACAGACAGGTGAGACTCACAGGTGAGACAGACAGGTGAGACAGACGGGTGAGACACACGGGTGAGAGACAGAAAGGTGAGACAGACAAGTGAGACACACAGGTGAGACTGACAGGTGAGACAGACAGGTGAGACACACAGATGAGACTCACAGGTGAGACAGACAGGTGAGACACACAGATGAGACTCACAGGTGAGACAGACAGATGAGACTCACAGGTGAGACAGACACGTGAGACAGACAGGTGAGACAGACAAGTGAGACACACGGGTGAGACAGACGGGTGAGACAGACGGGTGAGACAGACAGGTGAGACAGACAGGTGAGACAGACAGGAGAGACTGCAGCAGGATGTAACAGGTGTATTACAGTTTGTCTCCATGGTTACCTCCTTCATGGTGACGGACAGCTTGCGGCTCTTGTCCAACAGCTTGCTGACGGTGTTGGACGTGTGGCTGTGACTCTTTGACAGTTTGGTCATATCAGCCTGGATTCCCCGCACCACACCCTCCATCTCCACCTGGTGCACCTGCAGGGACATCAGGTCCAAAGCATCAGGGACCATACAACAGCCAATCAGAGACCAGAGCATCAGGTAACAGCCAATCAGAGACCAGAGCATCTGGTAACATCAGGTAACAGCCAATCAGAGTCCAAAGCATCAGGGACCAGACGACAGCCAATCAGAGACCAGAGCATCAGGTAACAGCCAATCAGAGACCAGAGCATCAGGTAACATCAGGTAACAGCCAATCAGAGACCAAAGCATCAGGGACCAGACAACAGCCAATCAGAGACCAGAACATCAGGTAACATCAGGTAACAGCGAATCAGAGACCATAGCATCAGGGACCAGACAACAGCCAATCAGAGACCAGAGCATCAGGTAACAGCCAATCAGAGACCAGAGCATCAGGTAACATCAGGTAACAGCCAATCAGAGACCAGAGCATCAGGTAACATCAGGTAACAGCCAATCAGAGACCAAAGCATCAGGGACCAGACAACAGCCAATCAGAGACCAGAACATCAGGTAACATCAGGTAACAGCCAATCAGAGACCATAGCATCAGGGACCAGACAACAGCCAATCAGAGACCAGAGCATCAGGTAACAGCCAATCAGAGACCAGAGCATCAGGTAATATCAGGTAACAGCCAATCAGAGACCAGAGCATCAGGTAACAGCCAATCAGAGACCAGAGCATCAGGGACCAGACAATCAACACCAGAGGTTGCGCTAGACTTTTTCGCTGACCGTCATTTTGACGGTCAGGCTCGTAACATTTCCGTCAAAATCCATTATTACCCGTCGGTCTGTACACAACTGACGGGGGGGGGGGGGGGAGAGCATGCTCATGGACTGTCAACAGGGGGGGACGCTCGTAAACTGTTAGCGCCGTGTTATGCCATGTTATGCCGGCCCACTGCACCTCGCGGGAGCACGCCATCAAGCATAAACTCCCAGACATTTCAATGACTTGTACGGCAAAGTTAGGTCTGGAAACGATATCATTTGCTTTTTGGCGGGTATGCATAACACGGGAGCCCTGCTGCGGGGAAGCTTTGGCGCTATTCTGAGTTTGTTCTAATCCGTCAAAATGACGGACTGCTTTCGGATTTTTCGGTCATAGACGGAATATATTCGGTTAACGCGACCTCTGATCAACAGCCAACATTGTTGACTCCTCCCCTTTAATAGTGTAGTTGTTGTTGACTCCTCCCCTTTAAGTGTGTAGTTATTGTTGACTCCGCCCCTTTAAGTGTGTAGTTGTTGTTGACTCCTCCCCTTTAAGTATGTAGTTGTTGTTGACTCCTCCCATTTAAGTGTGTAGTTCGTGTTGACTCCTCCCCTTTAACCGTGTAGTTCGTGTTGACTCCTCCCCTTTAAGCGTGTAGTTATTGTTGACTCCTCCCCTGTAAGCGTGTAGTTATTGTTGACTCCTCCCCTTTAAGCGTGTAGTTATTGTTGACTCCTCCCCTTTAAGTGTGTAGTTCTTGTTGACTCCTCCCCTTTAAGCGTGTAGTTCTTGTTGACTCCTCCCCTTTAATTGTGGAGTTTTTAGGCGCTTTCACACCGCAGTACTTTTCCCACAAAGGTTCATCTGTACTTAGTTCATGAGAACTAATTAGTTCTCATGAACTAAGTGCAGATCGCGTTCACACCGGAAAAAGTCCCTGGGGGGGGGATTAGGCAAATTAGGCTGCTGACGTCACTTCTTCTTCTTCTGCTTTGGGTTTACTGGCAGGCCGCAAACCACTTCACGGCATATACTTGCCGCCCAAAGTCCGCGGCCGGAAGTCCCCGGAGTTGGGGAAGGCTTCAGTAGAAGCTGCTGGGACTCCCAGCAGCTTCTACTGAAGCCTTCCGAGTAAATCGCCAGAACGCCGACATCTCCTCATCTCCACCGCTCCCATATTTTCTTTTGTGTTGCCATAAGTTAGTCTCTCTGCGTTTGTGCGTGGGGCTAATGCTAATGTGAGGATAATAAAATGGCGGCTTCACAACACTTTTTGGGAGTTTTACGGGGCGTGGTTTGCAATCCGCCCAGCCAATCAGACACAGGAACCTTTTTCTCCCACGAAAGTACCTGCTCTCTAGCAGGGACGGAAAAGGGGGTAAAAAAGGTTCTGATGAACTGATTTAGCTCCAGCTCTTTTTGGTGTGAACGCGACATTTCGGAACTATATCGGAACTAAAGTGGGAAAAGTACTGCGGTGTGAACGCGCCTCTTGTTGATAGGCAGTTATCTGGGCAGCAGCTCTGACACGTCATAAAGATAGTTTGAATCTTTACAGATTTATATAATAACAACTGTCTTGTCTACGCAGCACTTTAAGCTAACGCAGTAGCATGAATCTGTTTGCAGACAGGAAGTGATCCGCAGCAGCTGAATGTTAAGAAGCCTCTCAGAGTTTTCCTCTCAGCATTCATGAGACCAACATGTGAGGAATGCAGCGACGCAGCAGTGCAACATCTGCAGGGCGTCAGCTGACTCCGACGGAAACAGATCCAGAAACTGATCTGAACCCAGAAACAGATCCCAGACCACCAACACCCGGAGACTGAAGTCAACCTGCAGTTTTCTGACTGCAGTCTGGTGTGCAGAGTCTTAGTAACGCGCATCGGAGCGGTCTTCATGTTGTTTTTGTTTCTCTAGGGAGAGTTTCTATAGACCTGAACTCGAGCCTGACTCAGAGTCAGCTACAGATATCCTGTCAGAGAGTTTCCACAGCCCTGAACACGTCACACGGCATATTTTCAGGGTGGGGTCTGGTTTGTGAAGTTTCCCTGTCTTTAGTTTAGTTAGTCCCCCCCCCCCCCCCCCCCTCACCTCCATCTTGTTCTGGTTCTCCTGCACGGCGTCCAGCATGTTGACCAGTTTGTCCAGCAGCGTGAGGACGGTGATGGCATTCACCGGACCCTGACAAAGGGCCTCGGGGTCCGAGGGGGGACTCAGCCCGGCCAGGGGACCGGGGGGGTCCAGCAGCTCCAGGCTGGGGGGGGGGAGCAGGTCCTGGCTCTGGTGGGGCTCCGTGGTCACCATGACGGATTGAGAGAGACTGACTGCTTCGGGGTGTGTGTGTGAGTGTTTGTGTGTGTGTGCTGCGCTCTGATTGGCCGCTCAGAGGAAACTTTCCTGTCCACACCTTTAACCCTTTCCCCCCCACTGCTGCCTCGGTGTTCCTGCTGCGTTCCTGAGGCTGATCCAACTAACCAGAGAACAACACCACACACTCAGTTATACATCTCTGATGTTATCTATGATGTAATGGTTCTATAGAAACACAAACAGGAAGTGAGTTTAGAGCTGAAAGGGTTAACTGCTGCAGCAGGGGGGGGGTCACCATGACGACGGGCGGGTCTGTTTGTGTGTGTAGAGAGAGGGAGGTTCCTTCCAGATGACTTCACCTCACAAACATGAGACTCAGATCCTCCCCCCTTTACTCCCAGATCCTCCCCCTT